GGATGAGGCTGGAAGGGAAGGGCCAAGCTCTGCAGAGCAGAGAGCAGCATCGCGAGCAGGGGCTTCCCACCCGCTGCAGTCTCGGCCCCAGCGTTCCCACCGAGGTGGGTTTATTCCAACATTGCCACAAACACGTTTTTAAAAGAGAGATCTGATGAATTAAGATAGAGCCGCCCACGTAATAAGCCTCAGAAACATCCCCCAAGGTGGAGCGCTTTACAAGTTAGACCCCGTGTTTCTAATCCCGAGCTAGGAACTAGCTGCGCTTTTCAGGTGCTTGGTGAAGTGCTTAGGCTGTCTTGTGAGCCCCACCTGAACAAAAATATTACATCAGACTAGAGGGACGATGACCACAGCACGGCAACCAGCAGCCTTTGCAGGCGGATCCTGGGTGGCCGAGCTCTGGTGGCAGCAGCTCGGAAGCAGAGGCCGCCGCAGCCTTTGCCCCAGCACAGAGCACGAGCAACGCGAGCCCGTGGGCGCCGCGCGGGGCGCAGAGCTCCGCGTCCCGCTCTGCCCTGTCCCAGGGATCCCTCGTCTGACACTGACACCATCCTCCTCCTCCTCACGAGCGCCGCAGGGATTCTGCACCTCCTTGGCATCCAATTTGCACACATGTGACTTGGAATCCTTCACAGGGGATTTCAAAGAGACTTCCCGCTTTAGTGCAGGGGCAGGACAAGCATCAGCAAGCGGCCAGAGGGCAGCCACGACTACACACAGAGCCACAATGTGAAGGGCCAGAGCCAGGCCTGCCTGGGAGAACACCCTGACCCTGGAGGGGCAGGACCCGGTCCAGCTGCGGGGCCACCTGGACCCCGACCGGGCGGAAAGGACAAGGAGCAGAACCCCCCGGTGCCGGGGAGCGCGTCCTGGAGCCCCGGCGCCCGCAGGGCTCCGAGTGCGGCTCCACGGGGGACCCCGCAGCTCCGAGGGGGGGACCCTGCGGCACCGAGGGGGGACCCTGGCTCCGAGGGGGGACCCCGGCTCCGAGGGGGGA